TATCTTAATATTCAAAAATGCAATTGAAACAATGTCCATCCATGTACGCATCCACCAGTCTTCTTCCACTTATCCAGTTCAGAGTTGCAAGAGGGCTGGAGCCTAGCTGCCATAGGGCGAGAGGCAGAGTGTACACCTTGGGCAGGTTGCCAGTCTCACAGGGCTAACATGGAGATCACAAAACCATTCAAACTCACATTTGCACCTATGGCCAGTTTAGAATCACCAGTTAACCCAACCCCACTAACTGCACATGTTTGGACTGTTTTACTGATCATTTATGGATGGCTTCAAATTTCAAAACAAACAAAAAACCCTTTTGTGTTTCTGTTCTATATTGACATCAAAGAATTAACATCAGAATGTCTTTACAGGTGTATATTATCTGTACTTTTTCTCATGCTCTTAACTTTTGAATTACATTTTTTTGCTTAAAAATACAGGACATAACAAACAGCATATCAGTAGAAGGGCATTAAAAGCATGGACAATCCTAAGGTAATAGCGATACCTGGGATGTTGCAGGATTTGAGGTGACTTAAAAACTCCTCCTTCTGCTGTTCATGCACAATAAAATCCAAACCCTTTTCTGCATCTGTCTCTCTGCCTGCTCCACTTTTCTGTCACACAGACGATTGTTTAGGCTAACTCCTTACGCACACAAACAGAGCTCAAGGTCGCGTCTGCACAGTTAGAGTGCACACACAGAAAGAAAGTCTGGGTTGAAAGATTTAAATATTAATCATTGTAGTGATTATTTTCTTATTATTTCTTATTCTTACTGTATTGATTCTTGATTATATTTTGATTAGATTTCTGATTGTATTATAGCTGGAATAACTACCAACAATAGCACATTAAACTATGTCACTCTGTGCTGCATTACACCCTCAAAGGCTGGATTGGGCCTTTTACTTCACTTTTTGTAGAACTGAGCCAAGCGATCTCAGTCCACTTGACATCCTGTTTGATTCATACCACTTTATGTAAAATATCTGTATATATGCACAGCTCTCCCTCTCCTTGGGGGCTCCATCGTTGCAGCTCATCAAATGTGCATCCTCTGTGTGGAGTGTGTGGCTTCAGCCGATTCACTTGCCATTCTTACTTTTTTTTTTTCCGCTTATGGACTTCATCGTTCTGCCTCATCTAAAGTACTTATGTTTGACACTCCTCCTTTTTTCTTTTCTTTTTCTTCACCTAGGGGAGCTGGAGGAGGAGATGGAGAATCCAGAGATGCGGGATCTCCCGGAGAAACAGAAACACCAGCTCAGACACAGAGAGCTCTTCCTTTCTCGCCAGCTGGAGTCTTTACCAGCCACACACATCAGGTACACTTCATTTGTGTCACAGGACTAGATGTTTTATTTACCTTTTTTTTGTGGGACTTGCTTGTGCAACTTCTAAACCCACCCACCTACTTGACATTCTATTTTGGTTTCAAATACCCATCTCATGCTGTGACTGAAGTTCTGTTCACTAAATGTTTCCTCATCTTTTCATCCAAATCTTTTGGGTTACAGTTGATTCAACAAACCCAAATTTTTCTCCAAACAGAACATTTCTGATGAAATTTTCCTAGACGGTAGGGGGTCAGTGAAGAGAAAACAAGACAGACAGAACTGACTTGTTTTTCGAAAAAGTAGTTATGAATTTATGGTTATAACAAGATGAAAAAATGGCAGCTCATTTTTTGTTTTGTTGTCTTTTTTTTATGAATACTATCAGGGATCAATGCTTTGTCGTTTTTCTGTGTTGGCTTCAAGCCAATAGGTTAATAAAAATTGGTAGTGGTTAGAAGTTTTCAGCTAATGAGCAGTGGCTTAATGCAGCATTGATACTATAAATGAGTAAAAATTTAGGCTGATTAACACCTCAGTTACGCAGGCCTAGAGACCGGTTAGTAACCATCTGGCAACCACCAGTTGCGAGGGGGGATTAAAAATGAGTATACAAGTGGCTGCAAGTGATTGCTGGAGATTGCTCTTGTGCAACTGCAGCAATCTGCTAGCGACCGGAGAAATCACACAGAGGTTTTTGGTGCAGCACCTTTTTGCAGCCAGTGTAGGTCAGCAACCACTTGGACCAGATTGAGGAACATTTGTTGTTGTTTTGCCAGATGATTGGTAACTGGTCTCTGGGCCTGTGTAACTCGACCCTAAAATTTAGATGGATTGCAGCATTATTGACTGTGAATCACCTTTTTCTTAAGTAGGAAATTTAGATCAAGTGTAGGAAAGGTGGACTTATTCACATCACAAATGCAGTTTACGTTGTTTGCATTGATTAATAAGATAATTTTCAAATACTGAAAAGCGAATCTTGATTGCATCATAATGTTAAGACCTACAGTATAACAAATATTTGCAAATTTCTTCTGATTATTCCCATTTCCATGTTGCAATTTTTTATTTGCATGCATTGCATGAACTCATTTATACTGTTATAATGTGTATTCATGCTTTTTGATGCAAATACTGCAATTTCCTTGATGTCACATTGCCTGCTATACGTGAAGCTGTGTTGGCGAGAAAGACAGACACAAAGTAATCCACTCATATGCAGGGTACACGCTGAGCAGTAAATGTCAACAGAAAGCTGCTTCTAGATATAAACCTGCCTTTGCTCATCAGTAAGCTCGAGGCAAACCTACCTAATCATTAGCGTATTATTACTTGACATTTCTGAAATCACAAGAAGAGCAAACTGACATCTGCTCGAATAAAAATGCTCTGATGAGCAGTTTGTTTAGTGAGAATTCAAGCTTGATTAAGTTTTCTAACTTAACAGTGTGTGGCGAGGTTACACAGTGTGCTTGAGTTTATTACCCTGCCAAATCGTATTTGCTTCAGGCTAGAGAGGTATGACTAATTAGCTGGTAAATAATCTCAGTTCAGACTGTAGCAGTTTGGGGACAGGGATGAGTGCTGTTGGTGTCAACACACTGGACCAGGATTTATCCCAAAAAAAACCCCCAAAAACCAAGCTGGGCAAACTGGACCTGAATCAATACCATCATTGGAGATTCTGAGCTGTATCCTACATTTCTCTTGCAGAGGAGTTTGGACCAGAGAGCAGCTTTCATCTTGCACTTACATAACCACTTAAAATCCCATGGACTTTAAGCCCCGTCTGCTTTTCTATGTTTCACATGTCAAATATTGGCTCATACTTTTCTCCTCTATGACTTCCTCCTGTGTCTTTCTTAATTTTTTTTCTTCTTTCTTTTTCTCTCACTTCTTCCTTAACTGTGTTTCTTACATCCTTCAGGGGAAAGTGCTGTGTGACGCTGCTGAACGAGACAGAAGCCCTGAAGTCCTACCTGGACAGAGAGGTACGTGGTCATGATGGGGTCTCAACTGTAATTAGGTTTTAGATTTCTGTCTGTCTGTGTGTGTGTGTGTGTGTGTGTGTGTGTGTGTGTGTGAGAAAAGAAGAGAGTAAGAATCTTATGAGTTTAAAGATTCTTGTTTCCAGATGAATTATTCAACGTGTTGACCTAGAATGTTCTTTTCACGTACTGTAATGAGGAGACGAGAGACTAGGAGAGGAGGGAAATACACAAACACACACGCACGCAGACCAACTGATACACCCCACTCTTTCGCCTCTCCGCTCGCCCATCCCGCTTCCTGTTCCTTTCATTGCATCCTCACACCTTCCTGTCATCTGTATTTCCCAGGATGCCTTCTTCTACTCGCTGGTATACGACCCTCAGCAGAAGACCTTGCTGGCTGATAAGGGGGAGATCCGTGTTGGGAACAAGTACCAGGCCGACATCACCGACCTCCTGAAGGAAGGTACGTTGTGCTTAAAATTTTTGGCTGCTTTTTAAAAATGACTTTTTCGCTTAGAAGCACTGTATCCATCTTCTGCAGGGCACTTTTTACCCTGCAGTGGACTGATTTTTTTTTTTTTTAGCAATATGTCTGCATTAATGGGAGAAGTTTAACAGTCTGAGCCACGACTGTCAAACTTTTTAATATTTGTGCAACTGCTCAAATTTCAGGAACATGTCATGAACTTTTATGACTTTCTGCCTTAATACACCACTTTTTTTCCTCTTTTCTGTTACGAGTAAAGTTGAGAGAACAACCAAGTTGGGTTTCCATGGCAATCACACTGTGGACTAACAATGATTATACATAATCACAGCATTTGAAATAACAGTTTATTGCATTCGTGTTGCACAATTGATGACTTTACAGTCACCCGCAGAGAAGACAACTGTTCATAACGCACCCCAAATCTGACATCAAAAATGCTGTCGTTGAGGTATACACCCACGATGAAATATAATAGGTCGTAAAGTGTAGCAAAAATATTTGTAAGCATTCATTTTAATAACTGGGACTGGACAGTTTTGTACAAACTGTAATGTTTTTAAATCCAACTTGTTAGTAACACAAATCCACTATTATTTCCATTTAGATGAGCAGAAGGATATTTTCCGGGCATTCTCTGCCAATAGTTTGTAAGGTAATCATTAATCAGGTAATCATTTTCAAATGTGACTGTTTTTCTGCCAGATTATGGTGTTTTGCTGGGATCCTGTGTTTTGCCAGAATTTTATTCTTAGCAGGTGGGATGCATCTGAAATTGCAATTAAAGCACCATGGGACACTAGGCTTGCTAATTAAACCCATGTTAATGAAATTCTTCTACATGTGTTAGAATCTCAGGCAGGCTGGCTCGTTGGTTGAAGGCTGGCAACTTGACAGAACCCACCTCTTCAACTCTGGGATTCATTAAAGC